TTTTTTTCTTGCTGGCCTCGATTGCTCGTTTGAGTTCTTTTCTAGCAGCTTGGTATAGTTGTGCCTCTTCGATTGCAGCGCTTCTACGCCTGGACCTGGTGTAAGTACGCCTCAGGTGGAGGCACGTTCGTCTTAGTTGAGCTATATTTTCCGTCCACCCATATGCAGGTGTTTTGTATCGATTGCTTCCAGTTGTCGGCATCGCTTTGGTACAGGCTCTGGAGATCATTTTCATTGTGGTCTCTACTATTTCCATTGCGTTACTGTAAAAGGATTCTTCTGAGTCATGCGCATCTATTTCATATAGTAGTGCTCACTATTTATTTTCGAGACATTCCATTTGCGAGTGCTACATTGCATCTTCTTTCGTAAACCATCGTTTTTGGAGTCTATTATAAAAGAGATGTATTGGTGATCGCTACCAGTATAATCTTCCAATACTTTCCATTCCTTTATGGTGCCTGCTATGCCTTCTGATGCTAGTGTGATGTCTGGCGTGATTTGCTCGCATCCTGGTCTTTGGAAGGTTGTTGCTGCGCCAGTATTGAGCACTATAAATCCGAGTCGGGCGGACATTTCCAGCACGCTTTTGCCTCTGGAGTCCGTGATTGGCATCCCCCACTCCGTGGCTCTTGAGTTTAGGTCTCCTGCCATCAGAAAGGGTCCTTCCAACTTCATGGCCGTATCTTCGATATCGTCGAGTTTATCTTGGAAGTCTTGTATGATATCGCTTGGTGTCAGGTAGCAGCTTATTATATATATAGGGTTATATCTGACCCAGGCGAAGCCGTTTTCGTGTCCTTTTTCAGAGATGTGCATGCTGCTTCCCATGCGCATGCTGGTGCCCATTTAGCAGCGGTGCCACTGCTGTCTTCTATCCAGATTCCGTTTTCTTTTTTCTTATACTGTTCGTTTATGATTACAAGGTCATAATGCCGCTCGGTGATCATCTGTGTCAGTAGCGCGTCAGCCGTTTTACTTCTGTGCATGTTGGCTTGCAGGACATTCATTTCTTGGACCAGTTTCTATATACTGAGCATCTTATGGAGCTTGGGATGTGATCCAGCTCGGTGTATTTGGCTTCCGAGCACAAGCAGAATTTTGGTGGCTTATTACACTCTTTTAGCTTATGACCTGGTTGACCGCATCTGGGCCTTTACAGCCCCCCCATTAGATGGCCAGGTCCAAAACATCGAAAGCACCTCTTGCAGTTTTCTTTGAGTCGCACTCTACAGTTTATGCAGGCGATTTTGATCCTTGCTTGCTTTATTATTATATCAGCTTTTTCTTCATCGAGGGTCACGAAGGTCCTCACCTGTTCTCTACTGTTGGGAGCGGAGATGTTGATCTTCATAGCTATGTCGTATCCTTACAGCATACCCCTTACTGAGTCTTCGACTTCCTGTTTTGTCGTTAAGGAATCGAGGTCTCTTGTTTCGACTGTGGCCCTTGGTTTAAGGTCTGCTACAGTAGCGGTCTCTCGTAGGGTGCACTTTAATACCTCGCAGAAGCTTGAATTCGCCGATAGCCCCTTCTCTAGCTTCAGTAGTACTGCTCCAGCCTTTGTTTTCCGGATTCCCTTCAACTTGACTTCATCACTTGATTTCAGCTTACTGCGAATATTTTTCAGGACATCTGCGTAGCTGTTCCCTTCTGCCGGCTTAATCACTACCGCCTCTGGGAGTTTTTTAGACTTAGTAGGGCCTTTTCGGATATTTTGGTTTGCCTGGCGTGTTTTGTTTCCCGTCCGGCTTCTTCGCCTTTAACTTCTTGTTCGTCACTTGTTTCCATTCCCCGTCCTTTTCTCTTCGCGTTTCTGAGTTGGCTGCTGTTCTGGTGGGATTGTCGCTCGTCTTTTTGGCGTTGTCGTGGTGTCTGTCAGGTTAGCCGGGGCGGCACTTCCGATCTCTTTTTCTTTCATTTTCCAGTTTCTGCGGTAGCTTTGGATGATGTCGAACATTTCTTCTAGTTGTGCAGCCCCATTCTTGACCTCGAGGCTGAGATTCCTTTGTTTCGCTATAGCTTGCTTAATTTTTTGGACGATGCTTTTGCATTTTTAAAAGGACTCCTCTTCTGCGAGTCTCATCTTGATAATAAAGTCTTGTCTTGGAGAATTAGGACCTGGCGTTTTCGGGTGTACAGCTGGCGAAGTGTTTTTCTCCTGTCTTGAATTTTTGGTGCCTTCTGTCTCTGGGCGTGTTAAGTCGACCAGATCTGTTGCTTCTGGGGCATGATCAGCGTTCGTAACTGCTCCCGCTTGTTTTGCCTGCAGCGTTGGTGTGCTCTGCAGGACTGGCGAGCGCAAGGTCCTGCTGCTTCTGCGGAATATGCCTACATTCTCTTCTTGGATAAGAGCGCTGTGTGCTTCTTGTTGTTCTTTTTGTTGGTTTGGTTTTGGTGTGCTCATTTGTGCTTTTGGGTCTCCGCTTCAAGCCACTATCTCCACACGTAGCACAGTCGCCTTTGAATGTCCCCGAAGTTCCCTCCTCTAAAGAGCAGGCCACCGCGAGGTTTGTCACAATTTCTTATGAGGCATTGTGTTCAGAGCCAAGGACAGCGCAAAACCAGGAATAAATCTCAACTGGACCTGTGCGGCCAACTAAATGGCGACGTGTCTCGAACGTACTTAAGACCTGCCAGGGTTTTAACGAGACGGAGGCAATTGCAGCATTAGCCTGCCAGCCATTTCAGCGAGGTGTCAACCTCGCTTACTAAAGTGACAGAATATTGCTTTCGCCAGCCCATGAGTCGTAAATTCAAAATTCTTTTTCCAGTATACCGTAATCAAGATCTTACTGGTCTCGATCTTGATGGGCGTTCGCCCAGAGTTATCTTTTTATCTTACTAATTTTTTTGATCCCTCGTTGCACTGTTGCCTCCCTCTCTGGGGTAGGTACTCCCAAGGAGCAGTTCCTGATAGGGTCTGGGAACGCTAACTTAAAGGGCGGCGAGTACTCGCCCTGGCACTGGAGTTTCCTTGGGCTTTTCAGCCAAACCCTCCACTCTAGCCGCTCTTGGTCGGGGGCTGCTTATTGGTTATTAGCGGCTAGCCTAACAAGTTAGGTCGTCCACAGCCCGCCACGCAGTGGCCCCAGGTAGCCTGAGCTCAGCCAGGTAGGGTAGTTTAAGGAGCTTTTCGGCCAGTTTAATAAAAAGCAAACAATGTTTCTTTTTAAGGAAGACGTCGACAATATAAATTGCGCATACAGGACAGCAATAATGGTCAATAGGAGAACAGACGAGCAGAAGTACACTTAAATATAAATAAGTTGAAATCAGTGTGTATATTTGTAATATTTTCTTTGTTTGATGTTCAATGTAAGTTATGTTTTGCGGGAAAAATTGTTACACCAACGTATTGTACTTGTTATAACTTTTATTTACATACATATGTGCCTAATTGTTTTTTTTTTTATGTTTTGTTGTCAATAAACACCAGACTCCCTGAGGAAGATGTGAAAACCATCGAATCGCGTAGGAGGAAAAAGAAACATTGTTTGCTTTTTATTAATTTGATATAATTTAACTTAACTTGATTTAATTACATTTAATTTAATTTAATTTAATTTAATTTAATTTAATTTAATATGATATAATTTAATTTTATATAATTTAATTTAATTTAGTTTTACTTTTTTATAATTTATTTCGTATTTTTTAATTTATCTTTTATCGTATTTTTTAACTTTTTTATTTTATTTTATTTTATTTTATTTTATTTTATTTTATTTTATT